GCCCTCAGCCATATTTAAAACTTGTCAGACCTTCCCTCCTTTCTTGGCTTCTCCCACCTCTTACTGAAGTTTTCTTTTCACACTTCACTGCTTTCCTTCTTTACCCTGCCCTCTGGATGTAGTTCCCAGTGCTAAATCCTTGTCCCTCTGTTTTTTTCTCCTCCCTGTATTTGGGGTGGGGGATCCCTTCATTCTTTTTTTTTTTTTAATTTTTATTTATTTATGATAGTCACACACACACACACACACACAGAGAGAGAGAGAGAGAGAGAGAGAGAGAGAGAGAGGCAGAGGGAGAAGCAGGCTCCACGCACCGGGAGCCCGACATGGGATTCAATCCCGGGTCTCCAGGATCGCGCCCTGGGCCAAAGGCAGGCGCTAAACCGCTGCGCCACCCAGGGGGGATCCCTTCATTCTTAAGGTTTCTATGACCACCTGTATGCTGAGAACTCTAACACCTTGAGCTGTGAGCCACCCTTTCCTCCAAGCTCCAGTCCTAAGAAGAAATGCCAACTAGGCATTTCCAATTTTCTCCATCTCATTCTAACATTACGCTTTGTGCTAGGTGCCAACCATCCACCCCGCCTGACAGGCTGTGCTCTGACCTCTGGGCAAAGGCCAGTGGCTCCACAAATTCTATCAGTGACTCAGCTTGAAATCCTGGGAGTCATTCACGTGTTCAACAAACTTCCTCTGAGATCGAAGGGCTAGCTGAGGCTGACGGTCCTCCACCCTTCCACTCCAGCCAGCTGCTGAGTCACAGCAAGTTTTCCTTGAAATTTTCTGTCGTATGATTTCCTTCCACTACATTTTCACTAGCCCATCCACTGGGTTGCATTACAAGATTCTGGATTGCATTACAAGATTACTCAACAGTTTCTGAACCATCTGATTGCCTCACTAAATAACGACTGCCATTTGGTGAGGATAAAGTATGGAGGAGGCATCACTATAGTCATACTAATATAAATAAGACAGACAGCTATACTTGATGTCAGAGAATGGAAGGTAACAAAAAACAAGATAAAGGGCAACGGGAATTACCGAGAGATATCACTTCTGAAGAGAAAGCTCAAGAAACTTTTCATGTAACTGAAATGACATATGAGCGCATGGATAAGATTAGTTGGATATCCAAAAGAAGAAAGGCATTCAGAGTCAAGAGATACTAGGGCTTGCATGACCATTCTGCCCCAATACCCCGTGACATGAGCAAGTTACTCAATCCTCATTTTCCTCATCTACAAAACAGAGGCAACAATAGCATCTTGTTCATAGGTGTGTTGTTAGCATTAAATAAATGCACATCATGGGATACTGTGCAGCAGATTAACTCTGTTTATGTCTTGAAAACGTAGAGCTGAGTGGAAAAAATAAGAAAGAGAACAAGATATAAACTATAACATGATACAATTACTGAAATTAAAAGTATACTACACAGTGGTTGCCAGGGGTTCAGGGTGAGGGAGGCTGTGACAACAAAGGAGCAACAACAGAAAGGAATATTTTGGAGTGAGGGTGTAAATCCCGACTGTGGTAATGGTTATACAAATCGATGCATGTGTTTTAATTCACAGAACTTGTGCACCAAAAAAAAAAAAAATACATATATATATGTGTGTGTGTGTGTGTGTGTGTGTGTATTATTTTACCAAATGTAAAGGGTATTTGTAAAAAAAAAACAATAACATATATTTTCATAAGTACATGAAAACAAAAAGGTAATCATTTAATCCATTAGAATAACTGTCTTTGGAAGGGTGAGAATGAGGATGAAGATCAAAACGAATGAGAAAATAAATACAAGAGAGGAGCCCTGCACACACCAACAAAGACCACATGTCACGAACAGGGGCTGAGGAGTACCTTCTCTGCTTGAGGCCTCCTCCTCTGCCCCCCAAGAGGGAGAGACAATGACCTAGAGGAGGGTAAGGAAAAGAGAGTAAGTACAGGAAGTGAGGAAGTGATGAGGAAGCAAAGTCAAGCAAGAAAAAGACAGACTTGGAAGATATTATGGTCCCGCTTCTCAGCCAATTCCATGAGTACGGGAGTATGTTATTTTTTTTTTACCATTAAAGCCATAAAGGCAAGTCTAGAGTCTGGGACAGTGTACTGTTCCATTTACGCTTTAGTGACTAAATCAAGAAAACAGAATTTCCAGCATGGAGTGTGGGAAAGGAGGGGGGAGGATGTCAGGCTCCCAGGCCATGTATACAGACGGCAATAGCGCCAATCCTGAGCAACCTATTGGGGCAGGTGAAAAGCAGCAGGTCCAGCGTGGGTTATGATGAGCAGGGGTGCTAAATGGAACCTCTTGGTAGAGAGCAGTGCGGCAGGCTTCCGGATGTGCACACCTGGGGCCGGAGCAGGATCTGGTTGGACAAATCCATCTGAGACATTCCTAACCAAACGACTGATGATGACTGTGGGCTCAGGTGAGCAGCCCGGGACAACGGGTAGGGCGAGAGGTATCCCGGGAAACACAAAGTTTCGAGAAGTAGGCGGAAGAGAAGCTTAAGAAAGAGGCTGAGAAGAAGTGAGCAGAAAGATAGGCAGAAACCCTGGGATGTCATAGCAACACTGCGAGAACCTGGCCAATAGTGTCAAATGCTTCAAAAGGGAGGTTTCCACCAAATTTGGCAACATGGATGCTCCTGGTGCCTTTCAATGGCGAGGTTTTGGTGGAACAGTGAGAGCCAAGTCAGACTCCAGTGAGGCTGACATAAAAAGGGAAGTGAGAACGTGGTCACAGATGCTGAACAATGGGTGTTTGAGGCAGAAGAGAAGGGAAGATAGTTAAAGGAAAACCCAGGGTCTGACATGTTTTCAACGGTCGAGAGGAAAAAGTCATCAAAGAAGGAAGTGTCAAAAGACCATGAGAATCTGAGTGAGTCACAGCGGCCTTCACATTAAGGGGCCAGAGGCACCAGCAAGTGCTCAAAAGTAGGTCAGCCCTGAAATGGGGAAGTCTAAGGGATTGGGCAGCAGGGAGACCTACTTGCAACTTTTGTCATTTTAGGGCTTTTGAGTTTTATCCTATGTATATGTACTGACATGATTACAAAAATATTATTTTTTTAATTATTATTTAAGATGAATTTCAGTAAGAAAGAGGCCTGGCTGCAGTAGGTTGAGAATGACTTGGAGAGAGGAAGAAGAATGGGAGAAATGACCTGTGGACATCTCTTTCAAGAAGCCTCCCTTTGAAAGACACGAGAAAAATAGGACTACGGTAGCTTGACAAAATATCATGTGTTGTTCTGTCCTAGAGAAAGTAAGAACTAAAGCATTTTGAGGAGGTGCCTGGGTAGCTCAGCTGGTTGAGCATCCGACACTTGGTTTCGGCTCAGATTCTGATCTCAGGGTCCTGGGATCAAGCCCCGCATCGGGGGCTCTGTGCTCAGTGGGGAGTCTGCTTCAAGATTCTCCCTCTCCCTCTGCCTCACCCCTCTCACTCATGCTCTCTCTCTTTCTCTCTCTAAAATAAATAAATAAATCCTTAAAAAAATAAAATAAAGCATTTGGAAATATTCATGAGACAGTCAGTAGAAATGCGGTTAACAATGCAGCTGGTAAAGGAAATCATTAGGGAGGCAGCGTGAGGTCTGAGGACGCAACAGAAGTTGTAACTCAGAGTATGCACAGGAATTTCTAGGGACAACGGATGGGATAGGTCCACTCCCCTTTCTTCTTCCTATCTCCAGCCCAGGTGTGTTTGGGGGGTAGCTGCTTCAGGGTGGGCCTGATTAGTCTAAGCCAGTTGGCAAAATCTTGGCCCCTCTTACCCAGGGGTGGGCATGTGACATAATTTTTGCCAATAAGACCTAAGGAGGCATCTGGTGAGTCTTCAAAAAAAAAAAAAAAAAAAAAAAAGAGGTTCCTACTTTCCAGAGAGAGCTGCAGTAAGCCTAGCTCTTTCTCCTACTCAGAGTGAATGAGGAAGCATGTAACCCCAAGTGCTGCTGGCAGCCGTCCTATAACCACAAGGGGAACTAGGAGAAAGCCAACATTTGAATGAAGAGCAGAGAGACAAAATGATCCTGGATCCTCAAGACTGCCGAGGTACTGGATCAACCAGCCCTGAAGTCTGACTCCATTTGGACTTCAAAGATTAAAAAAACACATTATGTTTGGTTTTCCTATACTGACGGCCTGGAGCTCTGTCACTGATAAACATCCCTTTCACAGTAAGGTGAATGGGAAGGCAGGACTTGAGACAGAAGATGTCTGATGGTTCTAAGTTTTCTCTAAGTAAAAAGTGGTCCAGATACTAAGAGTGAGGAGGGAGCAGGCAGGAAGGAGAAGACTGGACCTGGCCGTCCAGGGCAGAGGGAAAGAGGGCTCAGCCGTGCTGAGCACCACACGAGGATCTGGAGACACCCACTAGCTGCAAACAGCATGAAGCTGTGTCACTCACCCGACACCATTGTCCTGGGTTTGGCATCGTGGATCAACAGGACAAGGAGATGAGCAGCTGGGGACATCAGCCCAAGAATGGTTGAAGAGATGGACACCAGGGGTTGGCTGGACTTGGAAAGGAGGAAAGGCAGGCAGGCGCTGCCGTTAGGAAAGAACAAAAGCCCAAAGTGACTAGAAATCTCAGCAGATCAAAGAACAAGGAGAGTAGAACTGAGAGCCTAGGAGACAATGCAGAGAAATGGCCCGGAAGCAGAGGTTAAGTGTCCCCAGGGTAACACAAAGCAGGGCTGAGGCCCAGCACCCCCACCACCTGCTGCCGCTCCGCCCAAGCCCTGCAGTGTTGTTTCAGGATTAACTGTAATAGATAAACTCTAATCTAATTGAAGCTGGGCAGACACAGGGCCTAATTCTTCTCATATCACCCAGAGCCATGTGCTTATCAGGCTGCAGGGGAAATGTTTTCAAGTTTGTGCTGATGCGTTTGAAAAAAATTCCGCAGGGACAGAAAACACTGTGTGAAGGAGACATGAGGAACACTGCAAGAAGAGCATGCCTTAAACCAGTCCTTGTAAAGAACTCACCTCTGCATTCATCTTGATCTCTTCCTTCAGTGGCTGTGAAGACAAAAGCAGAGGTCAGAACTCCAGATTCCACGCAGACACTCCCCTTGGCCACCCCACTTTATCCCGCACTATTTTTTTTTTAAGATTTTATTTATTTATTTTAGAGAAAAAAAAGAGAGAGTGTCTGAGTTGGGAAAAGGGCAGAGAGGAGAGACAAGAGAGAAAATCTCAAGCTTACTGCTGGGTACGGAGCTCGATCCCACAACCCTGAGATCATAACTTGAGCCAAAGTCAAGAATCAGATGCTTAACCAAGTGAGACCCTCAGGCACCCCTCTCCCAAATGACTTATTATCCCACTTCCCTAACTTCCCCCAAATGCCTCCACCACCTCATTTACCCCTCCAGTAACGGTACCCAGGCCAGTGTCTGACTCTGAGGCTGGTGGTCACCAGGATGTCATGCCAGTAATGTTTCTCTAGAAGGACATTTCCAACCCTGAGAGACCATCTCCTATACTGGAAGGGTGACTGTGAATGCAATGCCCGTCTGTACTTAAAAGAATGATGCTCGTCCCAAAGTTGATGCTTGGAGAGGATAGCTTTGGATCTGCCTTTCTTTTTTTACACGAGGCTCGAATTTATGACCCCGAGATCAAGAGTCGGCTGCTTACCTGACTGAGCCACCCAGGTGCCCCTTTTATGGAGACAAGCAAGGTACTAGGAAACACATACTTCTTTTTTTCTCCTAGCTGACTTTCCAGAGGACTTAAATTTATTATGTTAGAAGAACAGCTTAGCAGGCTGTTCTGAACCGACAGCATTGAGGAGGAGGAAGGAAGGACCAAGCAGGTGAGAGGAGTCAGAAGAAATGAGGAAAGAAAAAGGGAAAGGAAGGAGACATGGGAGAGAGAAGGAAAATAAGAAACTAGCAGAGAGTAACAGTGGCTCCAAACTTTAATGTATTCCAAGGAATGCGTATTTCTGGGTTCTACCCACAGAGATTCCGAATCAGGAATTCTAGAGGGGAGGGGAGGCTGAGAATCTGCATTTCAACAGTCGTACAAGAGACACGTACACATGGTCAGACAGCCACACTTGGAGAAACACTACAACTGAGAGTAGAACAGAGAAGCCCATAAAAGTTAACTTTCTCCTTCATTTTCCAGAGCTGTTAGAATCGCCACTTTAATTCAGCTACGGCTTGGCAGGCAATGGCAGGGTGACTGGGTGACTAGAAGCGAGAGGAAGCACTAAAGCCTCTCCAGCCCTTCCACCGAGTGGCATGTCCAGGAAGCCAATGCAGATGATGCTCGGAGCTGGAGGAGAGGAAGGAGGAGGGCCCTCCAACTCCTCCGGGAAGGGAAGGCTAGGGTGGCCTCTGTCCTTGGACCCATCCCTGCATTTGATCCTATTCTTCTTCTTCACTATTTAGCAATGGTCAGGCATAGGGATGAAAACCATGAATAAGAACGATGAGATAATAACACTCATCGTTAAAAACAACAAACACAAGAAAATGACTTTTGACAATCCTCTGAACACCTGGGATGGTCACCTGGGGCTATGTGTCGAAAATAACCCATTTTCAGTAATTCCCCTCTATCCTCTCTTCTCATTCCTCCGGTCTGCTTTGAGATTGCGTCTCATGACCCAACCTATCCAGCACACATGCCGTCCTTCCTTTAATAATCCAGAGCCTTTTCATCTTTCTTGAGAAACATGCAAGAGGGTACTTGTAGAAGACAAACCCTGCTTTTTGGGTTAAAAACCCTGCTTTGTCGCAAAGCAACAAATCTTCTGATTTGTCGACTCCCTCTGATCTTCTTCTCAGATCTCAGGGAGTCAGGAAGGGTGTGATGGCTTCTTCCGTATCAGCTATCTCCGGAGGATAAGCAAGATGCTGATAGCAAAGCCGGGGGAAGGCTGGAACTAAGGCGGCGAGGACGGGTGCTCAGCAGCCTGGACCACAGGGGCTCCCCAGAGAACACTCCCTGGTTGCTCCCCCCTGCTCAGGTGCCCTGCCCAAACTCACGGATTTCCTTTAAGCCCCCTCAGAGCTTACATGTGGGGGGCAAAGTCAGATAACAAAACACACAAAGGTGAGGACGATAATAACAGGCGTGAGCCCACTTGTCTCAACTACTTTATAGTAACACGAACTCCTAAAGGCCCGGCGAGAGCTATGGCTAATGCTGGCTTCGGGATGAGGGCCCCGAGGTCAGTGTGGGTAAAAGCCTTTGGCCTCACGGTCTGGGCGCTGCCCCGGAATTCTCGGACTTTGTGGTTCCAGAGCCGAGCCCTAGAGGCCTCCAGACCTTTGCAGCCTGTGCCGCCCTCACCCAGGCCGCTAGGACACACGGCAGAACCGGGTCGGCCCCGCTTCCGTCCTGGGCTAGCCGAGGGGCTCGGCTCAGGCTCCGCGGGCTGAACGATGGGCCTTCGTCTCTCGGGCCTGTCCAGCTCTAGAATGCTCTCTGGTTTCCACAGAAGGAAATTCCAGTGACTCTTGAAACAGGTGGAACAGTGCTTGGCCTCAGTCATGACCACAGAACGCAACTCAGGATTTCAGAGACGCCGTCCATCCACCTGCCGGAGACCACAATGCTTGCCGCGCTGCCTGCCGGGGCGAAGGTGGAGAATACGCCCTCTGCCATTAGGGGGCCGCGGGGGGCATTAGCCCACGGGGGCAGCCTGCACCGTGCGTCACGCTTCCACACGCACACGGCCTCTGACCCGGCGGTTCCACGGCTTCCAATGTATCTCCAGGGCCCAAATCGCACTCAAGAGAAACCATTCAATTGCCCTGTGTCCTTTGTCCTCCCGGGAACACGGCTACTACTTGCCTTCCCTTTCAAGGGACGTCCAGGAAAGCTTCCCGATTAAAAAATGTCTACGAGACAACATGGTTTATGAACTTTACTGCTTTCCCACAGGATCTGGGAAAGCAAAAGAAAACACAGAACAAGGACTGGGAGAAATCCCATTGCATCAGGCATCAGCAGTCCACGACCGAGGATGAACTGCACTCTCCTGTATGATCGAGAGTTATCAACTGGGGTATCCTGGCTGGATCCTCCAACTGGGGTACCCTCCCGGGCTCCCTCCCCTCCAGTGCTCAGTACCCCTTATAATAACCTGGCAGCGGCAGGAGGCCCACCCCGGCCAGATGGGATCTGACTCTGCCTCCCTACACTCTCCCCACTCAGCACGCGTCCTCTTCCTTCCCACTGTCCTGCAAGACTAACTGAAGCTGGAAAAGAACCCAGGGGGAATTTTATTCTATATTTGAACATATTCTTAGAGATCTAAGACCTGATCCTATAACAAGAAGATTTCAGTTTGTTTGCTTATTTATTTCAAGGGTTTAATATTTAAATAGACATCAAAAGCCTTTGATAGTGCTTCCAGTACTATTTAGAAATACTTATAGAGGGGCAGCCCGGTGGCCCAGCGGTTTAACGCCGCCTTAGGCCCAGGGACTGATCCTGGAGACCCGGGATTGAGTCCCACGTCGGGCTCCCTGCATGGAGCCTGCTTCTCCCTCTACCTGCATCTCTGCCTCTCTCTCTCTCCGTCTCTTATAAATAAATAAATAAAATCTTCAAAAAAAAAATAGAAACACTTATAGAAACATTTTTATTTCCTTTTCGGTTTTTAACTTTTTTATTTTGTCACATTTTAATCCAAGTTGTTTTTTTGCTATACGGCCTGAGATAAGACTCAACCTGTACTTTTCCCTCAAATAGCTGAGTTGCTCCCAAATCATTAATTGAATATTTCATCATTTCCCCCAGTGACTCATACATAAGTTCTTATGAATATGCTTATTCTTTTTTTTCACTTTTTCTGCTGTGTCACTGACCTTTATTCCCAGGCCTTTATTGTTCACATGATGTGGCTTAACAACATGTTCTGTTACCTGACAGTTCAAGTTCTCTCATTAACTTGTGCAGTAACCCTACCTATTCTTGTTTGCTCAGACTTCCCGATTACTTTTAGAACATTCTTGTAAAAAGAAAAAGAATTCCACTGGGACTGTGTCCAGTGCATCAAACTTATAGATTAAATTAATGCACATTAGTAGGTCTTCCCATCCAGAAATATATGATAGGTCTGCCTAAGAGCAAGCAGTTGGGGAAAAAAAAAGTACAAAACAGAAGAATCTTGAGTGAGTTCCTGAATTACCACATAATGACAAAGACAGTTCAGGCTGCAGTGGTTCTCTAGACAGCTAAAAAAAAACTTGCATAAAAAATCTGCTTAAAGCAATTTAGGGGATCCCTGGGTGGCTCAGCGGTTTAGTGCCTGCCTTTGACCCAGGGCGTGATTCCTGGAGTCCTGGGATCGAGTCCCACGTCGGGCTCCCTGCGTGGAGCCTGCTTCTCCCTCTGCCTGTGTCTCTGCCTCTCTCTCTCTCTCTGGGTCTCTCATGAATAAATAAATAAAATCTAAAAAAAAAAGAAAGCAATTTAAAGTAGGCTTTTCCTTTCCACACATCTGCTGCAGCAGGTGGACTAAACAGTGCTGGACTTTGAGCTTTGACACCAAAATCTGATGCACTGAGATGCATGCAGACCAGACACCTCTTGGGGGCATAAGGGCCTGCCTGAGCCTGGGGAGCCCAGAATTCCCCACCAGGCGTGGGCACCCACTACCAATCTGACCAAGGCCAAGGCACACGCTCTCTTCCTGCCTTGGTTTCGGCACTGCAGAAAAGGAGGGGGCGCATGAGCTTAGACAAACGTAGATGACCCTCGCTCTCTTCCGTGCTGACACGCTGGAATCCTGACCCACTTCTACTTTTTTGTTCTCCTTAGGCTTAGCTTCCTCAGTGTGTGCCTCGATTAACCAGAGGTCGTGAGCTGCTCTTCTGGTTCTGTCAGGGACCCGCACACAGGTAACTGGGAGAAGGCCCCAGCTACGGGGGCCAGGGCAGCAGCTGCCAGGAAGCTAAAACCCAAGCTGTCCCGGACACTCCCTCCCCCTCTCCACCCCCTGGCCCCTCCCACCTGCACTAGAGCCTCCCGATTCCTCTTCAACACCATTTCCAAACCTTCTACCTTTTCCTGAAAGTGATCTTGATAGATGTAATGGGAAAGAAATGAGATAACAGGAGTCAAAATACTCTTATTAAGGAAAAAACATCTAGCGTATGAAAATTTAGAAAATATGTCCCTTCTCCCCCTTTTTTTAAAGCAACTTAATTCAAGTAATTGCAAATAAGGTGCAACTCAGTTTCCAAACTGGGTTGAGATCAGGACATTCCGGGGCCCACTGGTATCCTTAGGCATTGATCCCCCAAAAAGATCTGGGGTGGGGCTTGGATCCCTATTACTGAAAGACTAGTTCTTGGTGATGCAGAGAGCTACAGAAAAGGGGGGGGCTGCTGGACCCACAAGTGCGGGTGGGCCCCGCAACACAACCCTCCACCCGGGCAGGACTCGGGAATCACTGGTGTTTCCGATGCCCTAAGCGCTCTTATGGGGCCGCCTGGGGGGCTCAGCGGTTGAGCGTCTCCTTCGGCCCAGGGTGTGACCCCAGGGTCCTGGTCCCACATCGGGCTCCCGGCAGGGAGCCTGCTTCTTCCTCTGCCTGTGTCTCTGCCTCTCTGTGTCTCTCACAAATAAATATAAAAGCTCTTGTGAACAGAGAAGGAAATGGTGGCTGCCCGGTGGGGGGGAAGGCGCCTGCAAGCCGGGCGTGCGCGGGCCACGGTCCCGGGTGACCTGCCCCCGCTGGGACGCGCCGGCCTGCCGGGTGTCCTGCCGGGAGTCCTGCCGGGTGTCCTGCCGGGCGACCTGCCGGGTGGCTGCCGGACACCTGCGGCTGCGGCTGCGGCTGCGGTGCGGGGAGGCGGCGGGTCCTGGCCGCGGAAGGTTCCGGCCCCGGCGCCCAGGCCGCTCCTCCCGGCGGGACCCCGCAGCGCCCGCCGCGCTCCCGCCCTGGCCGCGCCCTGGTCCCCCGGCCCGAGCCCGCCGCGCACCGCCTCCCGCCTCGAGCAGCTCAGGGCCTCGGGCCGCGCCAGGGCCGCAGCCGCAGCGCCGCGGCTCCGGGAGCTCGGCCCGATTTCGGGGCGCCCCTGACTCCTGCGGCCCCCATAAGCTCGGCGGATTCCCACCCGACGCGGGTGCCCCCGAGGGACGCGGCGGCCGGCGCAGGATTCGCACTCGGGGCGGGGGCGCGGGCGCAGCCGACGGGGCGAGACAGACACACGCGGGCCTCGGGGAGGCCGCTGCCGGGAGGGCCGCCCGCCTCCCCGGGGCCACCCGCCGGGCCGGGAGCGCGCCCACCTTCCAGGCTCCCGGCCCAGGGCCCGATCCCCGCGGCCCCCCCGCCCGGCGCCTTACCTGCCGCGGGGCACAAAGCTCCGGCCTCCGCGCTGCCGCCCGCCGCCGCCTGCTCGCCGGGCCTCGGAGGCGGGCGCCGGGCTGCGATTGGCGGAGGAGCGGGGGGGCGGGGGGAGCGGGGCCTGGGAGGGGAGGGGGTGCGGAGGAGGGGAGGGAGGGGGCGGGGCGGGGTGGAGGGAGCAGGGGGGCCCTGCCTCACGCCCCCAAGTGGGAGAGCCTGGCCCCAGTGGTCCACCTGGCGGAGGAGCAGAGGCGCAGAGGCCGCGGGGCGGGGAGGCCTGGGACGGGGTGGTAGCTCATTATAGTTTTCATTTGCATTTCCCTAATAAAGATGATGCTGAACACCTTTTCCTAAGCATGTTGGCCATTTGTACCTCTTCTTTGGAGAAATAGCTATTGAAGTTATCTTGAATCGGGTTGTTTGTGGTTGAGTTTTAGGAGTACACCATATATTCCGGATATTAATACTTTATTAGATATATGATTTGCTGATATTTTCTGCTGTTCTCTGAGTTACCTTTCTACTCTGATGATAGCGTCTTCTGATATAAAATATCTTTAAATTTTCATAGAGTCAATTTCTCTAATTTTCCTTTTGTTACTGTGCCTTTGATGTCATATCAGAAATCATTGCCAAGTTGGATATCCCAAAACTTTTGTCCTGTTTTCTAGAAATTTTATTGTTTCAGGTCTTAATTTGGTCCTTGATCCATTTTGAGTTAATGTGGATATCCAGTTTTCCCAACACCATTTGTTGAACAGACTGTCCTTTCAAACTGAACAGACTTGACGTGCCTCTCAAAAACCATTTGACCATATGTGTGAGAGTTTATTTCTGGGGTCTCTATTTTATCCCATTACTTGACATATCTGTCTTTATGCCAATACCACAGTTTTGATTACCTATGGCTTTGTAACAAATTTTGAAGTCAAGAAGTGAGTCCTCCTCCTCTCTTGTTCTTTTTCAAGATCGTTTTGGCAATTCATGATCCCTCAAGATTCCATATGAATTTAAGAATGAGTTTTCCTATCTCTGCAAAAAAGAAGACATTGGAAATTTTGTTGGGACTGAATTGAATCTGTATATTACTTTGGGTAGTCTTGACACTTTAATGGTATTAAGTCTCCTAATACATGAACATGGGATACATTTCCATTTATATATATGTCTTCTTCAGTTTCTTTCAGCAAACTTTTATAGTTTTCATTGTACAAGTTTTTCATCTCCTTGGTTAATTTCTAAGTATTTTATTCTTTTAAATGCTGTTGTAAATTAACTTACTTTTGGTCATTATTTTCAGGTTATTCATTGTTAGTGTATAGAAATGCAGGTGATTTTTGTGTGTTGACTTTGTGTTCTGCTACATTCCTGAATTCACTTATTAGTTACAATAGTTTTCTCTAGGATTTTCAAATTTTCTACATATTAGATTAAATCATCCATGAACAGAGATAATTTTACTTATTCTTTTCCAATTTGGATGACTTTGGTTTCTTTTTCCTGTCTAAATGCATTGGCTACTCCAGTGGGCTCCGAGCTGGGCACAGACCCTGCTCTGGATTCCTCTCTCCCTCTGCTCTTCTCTCCCTCTAAAATAAATTTTTTTAAAAACTAGAAAAAAATATTAAAAATGCATTGGCTAGATCTCCATACTCCTCTATCTAGCTCGCCACTTAATATCACCTCTTTGATATCTAAAATATGTGTCAATCCTTAACATGTCCTAATCTGAATTAGGACATGAATCCCCCCCCCCCATTTATCCTTCCCATATTATTACCACATCATTGGCAACTTCAATCTTCCAGTTGTTCAGGCCAGAAACTCTGATGTTATTTTTGACTCACCTTTCTTTTCTATCCCACATCCATGTGTCAGGAAATTCTGTTGGCTAGATCTTCCTAGCGTATCTAGAAACTGATTACTTCTTACTCATACCTCCATCAGAGTCACAGAAGTGTCTTCTCTGGCCTTCCTGCAGTTTATGCCCATGCAGGACAAGAATGATCTTTATTTATTATTATTTTTAAAGATTTCATTTATTTATTCACGAGCAACACACAGAGGAGAGAGAGAGAGGCAGAGACAGAAGCAGGCTCCATGCAGGGAGCCCAGCGTGGTACTGGATCCTGAGTCTCCAGGATCAGGGCTGAAGGTGGCGCTAAACCGCTGAGCCACCTGGGCTGCCCAAGAATGACCTTAAAAAAAAAAAAAAGAAAAAGGAAAAGAACAAAAGATCATGTCCTTTCTTTGCTCAAACCCTCCAATGGTTTTCTATACAATTTAGAGTAGAAGCCAAAACACCTGAAAGGCTCTACAAGGCCCTATATGGTTGGCTTCTCTGTTGCTCCTGCAACCTCATCTACTACTATGACCCTCCCTTGGATTACTCTGATCCAGTCACTCTGGACCTCATCCTATTTCTTGAACAAGACAGGAAGGCTCCTGCAGTAAGGCCTTTGCCCTGGCTTACCCCTTTCTGGAATGCATGGCTGATTCCCACTCTTCCTGATTTTGCTCAAATTCCACCTCAGTGACAACTACTCTGACCACTCTATTCAAAATTATCTCCTGCCCTGCTCCTGACTTCCTTAGTTGGCTATTATTTCTTCCTATAGCACTTACACCTTCTAATGTATTCAAATATTTAATTAGTTACTACATGTAATTACTGTTCATTATCCATCCCTTCTATCCACCTTACTATTTCCTCTTGTGTCGTGATATACCTTTTCTTAAAGAAATAACTGCACAAAAAGGATCCTATACCTTTAATGGCATTTCAAAGCCTAGGTCATAAGCTAAACTGAAGGATCGATCTATCGGAATGCAAGATCAATAAACTATATGGAGAAGAGGTGGTTCCCCAAAATGGAATGCTGAACTCTGTTGTTAGAAGGAGAGATGCTGGCTAAGCAAAACCTACAGATGTTCACTTGCTGAGTCAGACTTAGCACACAGAGCAACTTTGAGGAAGCCTGTGAGAGGGGCCACACGTATCCTTGAATATAGAGTGTAAGGATGGCTGGGCAGCCCGGGTGGCTCAGCGGTTTAGTGCCCTTCAGGCCGGGACGTGATCCTGGAGACCCAGGACTCGGGATCAAGTCCCACATCAGGTTCCCTACATGGAGCCTGCTTCTCCCTCTGCCTGTCTCTCTGCCTCTCTCTATGTGTGTCTCTCATGAATAATCATTAAACAAGTAAGGAGCTATATTAGATCTCCAGTGCCATTTCTCTATCAATTTCTTTACATATTTTCCCCTTCTAGGAGTAATAGATTTTGTACAGATTTTGATTAAAATGACACGATACACTAGATGTAAAATTCTAGGATCAGATACCCAAGGATATAAGAAGGAATCAAAGTGGCAAGATTTGGTGAAATCTCTGATGAGTTATTGTGCTGTGAGTTCCTCTTCCCCCCATTTGAGGAAAGCTACAGTCAGCCTATTTCCCTCATATCATACCTATGGGCTACCCCACCAGTCTGGCTGGGGGACCAGAGTACCAGAGTCAATATACTTGGGGGACTCTCTGGACTGTTGTCTATCTCCCACTGGGGAGAGATAGGCTTCAGACAGCTGGGGCAGATAGTCCAGCTGTGTGCTGCTGTGCTGGAGTTGGTCAGCATGCACATAGGGTCAGTAGTCCACAGGACACATTTGTGTTTCCCATGGGTCAGGTGTGGGCAATGCAGGAGAGACAGTTGTCTTGGGTCTGGTCCAATAAAGCTGCCTGAAGGGACAAAGGGATCCCCTCAGCAAGAAGCTGGAGGTGAATGTCAAATTTGAGTTTCCCAGTACAGAGTTTCCTTTAGATTTAGCCCCACTTTTGATAACTTCATTTTAGAGCATATCAAAACACATGAACTCCAAGCTCCAGCTCCCTCCCTTCAAAGTCATCTGAATGAATTTTTAAGGCTCTGTAGCCCTGGTTAGCACTAGTCCCATGGTTGCATCTAACTGGAGGACAGACTGGAGAAGATAGGGGACCAAATGGAACGCTTAGTAGGTCGTACTTATTTTGCCGTCTAAGGCCAGCATTCTACACGTATTTATTGGGCATATACTATGAGCACTGGTATAGGGTGCTGGGAAAATATAGTTCTAAATGACAGAGCTTTGAGGGTGTTGTAGTTTTGGAAGCATGTCAGACAAAGTCAGGAGAGTACAGTGTCCAGCATATTCTGGCCTGATTATGAACCCTTCTAAGATACCACCCAAGGAGGGGGGGCCCTGCCTAAGGCCCTGCATATGTGGGGAGGAGTGATCAGCTTGAAAAGAATGGGAAATAAATGTAAATGTGACCTTATAGAAACAGGCAGGGGAAATTGGAGGATGCCAGAAACATATCTATAAATTCTTAAATTTTGACGGCGAGGAACACACAGCTGGGAAGGGATTACCACATTATCCATTTTAACAGAAAAACCCTCGTGCCTTTGATAGAGTTACCCGTGGATCCTCTTTAAGATTTGGTGAGATTCTTCCTTTTCTGGAAATACTTCTTAGAATAAACAGCCTCCATTTTATGCTATTTAAATTGCCTACCCAGAGAAATGGCTCAACTTTGTTAACTCCTTGTATTAGCGCACCTTTTCTTTACTCTCTGTAAAATGGACTGACCCAATCTACTATGGCTTCAATAAAAAACAGTATACAGGAGGAGGAGTTAAGATGGCAGAGGAGTAGAGGGGACCCTAAATTTGTCTCATCCCTCGAATAGGACTAGATAGTTATGAAATCATCCTGAACACCAGAGAAATCAATCAGAGATCTGGAAAAAACAAAAAAACAAAATCTGTGAAGTCAATGGTAGAAAAACAACCACTGTTTGGAAAAGGTAGGAGGTGCAAAGACTTCAATCTGGATTGAGAATGTAGTGGAGAGGAGGGAGCCTGCTTAAGGAGCTACCGCAAAGTATCAGAAGCAGCTAAGTGCAAAATTGGAACCTTTAGAAGTCGGTTAGGGTGGGGCCCTGCCTGGCTCAAAGGTGCTGGGTGGTGAAGCAGGGTGGAATCCCAGGTGGGCCAACGTGGTTGGAGGACCCTCGGGTTGCAAGGAAAACGGGTGGGGGGCCTGGGTGAGGTGGAGTTTCCAGGCCTAGGAACCAGGAGGCTGCTGAGAACAGCAAGTCAAGGTGCCAGCTTGCTTCTCTGTGTTGCCATAAACTGAACCGCTGCACGGTCCCGTGACTGCTTTCCTGGGAAGGGTCCAGCAAAAGGCAGAAGTATGACAAGAACCTCCCCCCTCCCAGAGGAATAGTGTCGGTCTCCACCGTGGGAGTCCCTAAAATTTGGAATTTTGAAACTCAGTTGAGGGCCTGAGATAAAAACGTTTGGCCACAGGCCTGTTGAGCTCAGAGTTCAGATGGAAACCCGGGAAACAAGAGTAAGTGATTGCTTTTTGGTGAGGGCTCACAGAAGAGTGGGGGATGTACTTGCAGCTCTGGGGCTGGGGGGCAGGGAGGGGGTAACAGCCATAGTGACCCTGAAAGCCTTCACCACCTACTGGAATCTGGAGCCAGTACCTTGAAACTTGCCTCTTGTACTGGGAGGCTTTTCTCCACTGGGGCAAGTGCCCCCTGAGAATCCGCAGAAGGGCCCCTTCCCCAGAAGACCAGCACCACCAACTCACGCTCGTACAGCTCACTGATCACAAAGGGCTGCAAAGCTTCCACTCTTGGAAAAAACACTGTACAGAAATCTTTGTATTTTTAATCTTTACTCTTTTAGGATTATTTTTTGTTATTTTCATTTTTTGGCTTTTAAAATTCTTTTCTAATTTTTATTTTAAAATATACATTATAGGGATCCCTGGGTAGTTCAGCGGTTTAGCACCTGCCTTCCGCCCAGGGCCTGATCCTGGAGACCCTGTTCGAGTCCCACGTTGGGCTCCCTGCATGGAGCCTGCTTCTCCCTCTGCCTGTGTCTCTGCCTCTCTCTGTGTATCTCATGAATAAATAAATAAAATCTTTAAAATATATATATATACATAATATATGTATTTTATTTTTTGTTTCCTTTCATTGTA